CCTCTGGGAATTCCTGGGACACTTCCAGGGATGGGGACCCCAAACCTCCCTGGGCAACCCCAAACCCTGCCTGAGCATCCTTTCCATGAGGAAATTCCTCCTGGAGATGGCCCTTGGGGTCTGAAAGTGCTGCAGGGGTCTGTGTGGGGCTGAAGGTGCTCAGGGGAGATGCTCCAAACCCAAACCAGGGCAGGAGCAGCTCCCCAGCACCATGCTGTGTAAATAAAGCAAGTTAAATTTGTTAAGGACAGTGTGGTCACCTAAAAATGAATTTTTTCAGGTGGAAAAACCCCTTCTGCCCTCTGCTGAGGAGCACCTTGCAGGGGGAGCAGCCGCCCAGAGTAAGGAGCTTTGTTTAAGAGAGCTTCATCTTCAATTCTTCTCCTCTTCTGCTCCTTCCCAGCCCACAGCTCCCCACGGCCGCTCAGACCCCCCAAAACACCCTTGAGCAGGGGTCACCCACCGTGATGCCTTAGGGTTTTAGTTTCTATATTTTTTATCTATTTATAATCCTATAAATCCTATATAATCCTATAATTTTTATCTATTTGTAATTCTTTAGTGCAGAACTCTAAACTCCATGGACAGGGGGAGCTGCTGCTTTCCCCTTTGGGGCAGACACAACAATTCCTCTCCAGGCCTGACAATCAAGGACACCTCACTGCCTCAGGACCCAAAAAAGTTGAACAAAAATTAGGAGCAAACTTGGGGTAAATTCCTTCATTACCTGAAGCTGTAATTGGCAGATTAATCCCCAATATGCAAATGGACCAAACTCATAAAAATATAAAAACCTGTGGTTTGTTTTGGGTGTAGCCCTGGGGGGTTTTGTCAGCCCTAAATGTACCTGAAGGCCCTTCAATAAACATAATAAATACACTTTTTATTCTTTTTAATTTGTCTGGCCTCTGTTTTTAGGTAGCCCCAAAAGGCATCAGCCAAGGCCCAGGTGAGCCCCCAGCACAGCAATTTAAAACCCCTGGGGTTTTTTGCCAAAAGTTTTTGCACCATTATGTCACATCCTATATATCAGAATTTGCTGGGAAACGCTTGGTTTTGTTGTTTTGGTTATTTTTTTAAAATTTCTTTTCAGTGTTCCTGCTCTCTCCTGGAAATAGAAACCCCAGCAGGTCGAATGACCTGAGGGTTTATTTATTTCCAGGGTAGGTAGGAGGAAGTTCAGCCTTTGTGCTCACAGAACACTCTGAGCATTGGAAACATAATGAGCATTAATGAGTATGAAATAGAGACCCTTTGGGATCCATGACTGCTAACTCAGCTGTCCCACAGACCCCAAAGCTGCCACAAATCCCTTTCCCAAGTCACCACGAGCACACAGAGGGGAGGAGGAGCTGTGATTTGAGTGAGCCAGGATGAGCTTTTGGGATCATTGGCAGCTCAGCTAAAATCCATTTATTGTCTGTCTTTAGTCTCAGTGAGCTGCTTCAACACGTGGGGGGTTTGTGTCTCTGTCATGGAATAAATCTGAATTTCTCAGGACACACAGCAGAGACCTCTCCAGTCAGTCAGAGACTTGGAGAATCATTGGAATGATTTGGGTGGAGAAGGAGATTAAAGACCCTCTCATTCCACCCCCCTGCCACGGGCAGGGACAGCTTCCACTACCCCAGACTGCTGCAAGCCCTGTCCTGGGACACCTCCAGGGATGGGGAATCTCCAGGGTGTGACTTAGTTACACTCAGTTACCATTATAGAGATTAATTCTCCACGGGGAATAACCTCATTAGTCCACTTAAATAAGAAAGGAAGAAGGAAGAAGAAGGAAGGAGGATGAAGGAAAAAGAAGGAGCTCAGGACAACACCCTGTGCCTTCCATCTTGTTCCCATCTACAACAAAATTTTAAAAATACTAAAACCTATAAATATGGGATTACTAAAAATACTAAAACCTATAAATCCCAAAACCTAACTTTCTCACCCAAGTGACACACTACACAACTCTCTATAATCTATTTCACACTTTTGTAGACTGTAGTCTATCTGAAGTCCTGGAAGCTTTCTCCATGGGTGCGGGTCAAAGCCAGTGCTTCTCTGGGGGGGAGGACCCCTCAGAGCAGACAGAGAAATATTCCCTGTGCCCTGGGTTCCCACAACAGAAAAGCTGAATAATTTCAAATTGTGTGTGCAACAAAATTTGGAATTCCAAACAAGTTGAAATTCCAAACCAAATTGGAAATTCCAAACCAAATTTGGAATTTCTGCTTGATGGCCACAGGCACCAACCTGGGAGCTTTTGATGGTTCTGGAGGGGAAATGGCACCTGAGCCAAGGTCCTGGGGAAGAGGGTGGAGAAAAACTGGGTGAGAACCACAGGAATTGTCCTTTTTGGAGATCCCAGCCATGTTTGAGCTGCAATTCATCTGCTTCTGCTAAAGAAACACACAGCTGCTCTCTGCCTGCATTCATTGTTTAATTCATTCATGCTGCTTGCTGGAAACACCATCCTTAAAGTCCTTCTGGGGCAGAGTTTGCTTTAAAGAAAACTCTCCATGGAAAAGGCTTTCCTTTAAATTTAGTACAAAAGAAAAGCCCAACCAGTTTTATTTATAGATCAGGGCATGAGAGATTTTCAGTGTTCAAGCCAGTGCTCTATCTCTGTTTCTCCCATAAAAACATGTTTAGCATTTTTCTCATCCTACCAGAATAAAATTCTTTTATTGAGATTTTTTTTTCCCCTTGCTAAAATGCAGCCGCTTGAATGAATGACAAAAAAATACTGGATTTATCCACTGGATAATTTAGTGAGTTGTGATTCTGTTCTTGGGTGACATGAGCTGGGTTTTGGTTATTCTTTAATAGATCATCTCTTACTTCTGTGGCTTTGGGACAGTTTATAAACCTAAGGTTGTATTTCCCAGAGATCTGTACCAGATGTATGATAAATTTGGGAGTTTTATTATATTTATTTTTCTATTTTTTATTATTTTATATTTTATTTTATTTTTATTCTATATTTTATTACTGTAGAAGCATCCAGAATTTCCTTGTGGAATGTCTGCTTGGAGGAGCAGTGAGAAAATGGCTGAATGGAGAAATGGCCAGAACTGTGGCCTTTCCAACAACCTGAGTGATAAAATGAACAATTTCATATTGTGTTTAATGTGTAAATTTCAGTTTGTGTTTAATGGGAGGGGAAATGTTAATTGGTTTTTTTGGTGAATGGCAACACTGCAAACACAACTTGATTTCTATTTATTCATAGTAAAATGCAGAATTTGGGGTGTTTTTCTTTGAAGTGATGGTTTTCCCTTTCCTGGTGGAGGTGGGTGGTGATAACCAGCTCCATCTGTAAAAAATTCAAGGGTGGGGTGGTTATTGAGCAGAATCCTGACCTGCTTTGCTGCCACAGAGCTCAGTGTCACCTCAAAAAGTGCTGCAACCCTTAACTGGTTAAAAAAAAAAAAAAAACAACACTGGGGGCAATGGCAGCTTATCCCCTCGATGAAAATTTGAAATTTTTCCATTTTATTGTTTCCCAGTTATTCTTTAACCCTTGCTGTGCCCTGCCAGCCCACTTTTAGTGACTGACACACTTCAGAATCAAAAGTTTCACTGCCTGGATGGTTCATTCTGCTGAGCTTTGTGACAAAATCCCTGATTATGACTCAGCTTCCCTTCCAAATGTCTTTGCGATCAGTAATGGAGTCACATTCTGGGTTACATGAGAGAGGAGTTAAAGGTTTTAGTGGTAATTTCATAGAAAATATGTTTTCCATAGGAAGCAATGCTGCCCCTTAGAATGCACCTGAGCACCTGGAAATGTCCAGGGTGAGGTTGGACAAGGTTTGGAGCAACCTGGGATGGTGGAAGGTTCCCTGCCCATGGCAGGGCTGGCATGAGCTGGGATTTAAGGTCCCTTCCAGCCCAAACCAGTCTGGGGTTCTGTGAACGAGCAGGTGCTGAATCTTATTTGAGCCATTCACTGTGGAATCCTTGGATTTATGGGATGAGAGCTCAGAGGCTGCTGTGGGAGAGCTGGGCAGGAAAAGGGGTGGGAATGGGGAGTGTGGGGGTCACTGAGGCCACCCCTGGGACAGGGTGACAGCAGTGACAGCAGTGCTGAGGGTGTGACAGCCACAGGGGCTCCAGGTCAGACAGGGAAGTTCCCTGGACGTATTTAAGTCATCGTGTGGATGATCTCACTCCATTATGTGTCACAGAGCTTCTCAGTTCACTCTATTTCACTTTATAATTCGGAGAAATGAAACCATTTCCCCATCTCGGCCCTACCAAGGGAGCACAGCCACAGCTGAGTGGCAGTGAAGGAACTCCTGATGTGTGTCAGGGCACTGGAAGGAGCCAAGTGAGAACAGGAGCAGTCTGGAGGTGAGGTTGTGTGGCAGGGATGTGCCTGCCTGGCCTCTCCCTGCTGTTTTAGGGGGGTTTGTTCTGCAAGCAGGAGCTCTGCCCAAGCATCCTGCACAGCTTTGTTGGTGCAGAGAGGATAAAAGCCACCTGCTTACACCTGTAATGTGTTTTACTCCTGTGTTCTTTCATCAGGGATTCTGCTTTTCCAGCAGCAGAATGGGAAACATGGGCATTTAAATGAATTAAAGAGGATTTTAATGGGAAAGCCTAATAAAACAAGTTGTCCTTATCAAATTGCCTTTGAGTTGGCAGCTTGCTGTGCTGCTTTTTTATAAATCACTTCATCCTTTACTCAGAAGCTTTATTTCCTTCTTGGAAATGACAAATTCCAGTGTGGAATCCCAGACTGGTTTGGGTTGGAAGGGTCCTTAAAGCTCATCCCATTCCATGAGCAGGGCTGGGACACCTTCCACCACCCCAGGGTGCTCAGAGCTCCATCCAGCCTGGCCTTGGGCACTGCCAGGGATGGAGAATCCCCAACCTGAGCCAGAATTATCCATCTGCTGGGGTACCTGTTGCTGATTCCCCGACCCCAGAGGCTCCCCTTTTAGGGGAGATCCTCCTGTCAGAAAAGAGAGACCCACTGGACTTTTTCGGTCTTCAGGTTTTTGTTTATTATTATTTTATATAAAGTTTTGCACACTGTCCACACCAGGCTCAGCACGCTGGAAAAGCACCACAGAAATGGCCAACAATCTCTTGTTACAAGGTGTTTTAAGGCTAAACTATCCAATTAAGAACCAACACCTAGATTATTTCCCCTTTTAACCCAATCACTGATCCCAAAGAGCTGCAATGTAGATTTTTCCACACAATTGCAAGATGCCACCCAAACCCATGAAGAAGGAGGAAGAAGAAGCATGAAGAAGAAACCCAGGACAACACCCTGTGCCCTCCCATCCACAACACACTAAAAATCCCAAACCCTAAATTCCTCACCTAAGTGACACACTTACACCACTCTCTATAACCAATTTCACACTTTTGTGGATTCCAGTCTATCTTGAAGTCTAGGGAACTTTCTCCATGAATGAGGGTCAAAGTCAGTGCTGCCCAGGGGGTCAGGGCACCCCAGAGCAGACAGAGAAATATTCCCAGTGCCCTGGGTTTCCACATTCACGCAGACTTTTGTTTGACCCAGGTGGCAGTGCAATATTTTCTTTTAGTGCCAGTTGTAAAAGCCTTTCTCTCCCACAGGCTGCAAAGCAGCATTTCCAGGTTTTCTGACACAAGGAATAGTGAGAGTGTCTGGTGCTTTCCCAACTGGGCCATTCCTTCCCCAAAATTCTGCTCTTTGCTGTGTTTTAGCACAGATCTTCCCAGGAATAAGCCAGTGGAACATGAGTCACTGCAGGAACCAGGGCCTGGGCGAGGTGGGCTCCTGGCTTATAAATGGCACAATTGTAGATACAGGAGTGCAAGGGCTGCTCTGCTTGGAAAGCTGGCTGGAAAATAGCACTCATGAGGTAGGCAGGCATTTATATCCACAGGAACCATTGGCCAGTTTGTATATATTTGCATTTCATTTTCTAACCACACTTTTGGAGCTTGGTTTTTAACTATTCATTGATGAGCTTATCACAGGCTGCGCCTCACAACAAAATTCTGGCATCCGTCTGAGGCTGCCACAAGCCCTCATTTGGAGAATTTCTGGGCTAAAAAGCCACCAGCAAGGTGGAAAAGCCTGATGAGCTCCCTGTTCGATGTTTGAAGTGCTATTTTTGTGTTAATGAAGAATGGGGGAGGGTCTGTGTGAAACTTGGGGTGTCTGAAAGCAAAGGGCAGGACTCTGACAGTGTTTGTCCATTGCTGTTTCAACCCAAATCTCTGAAAGGAACGAGTAGTTTGTTCTTCCACCTGTAAAAGAGCCCACAATAAATGTGCATTTGTGAGTGGAGAAAGGTTTCTCTCTCAATTCATCCTTCTGGGTGAGCAGAGTCCCCTGCCCTGGGAGAAGGGAGTGGGGAGGAAACTTTGCAGGAGTTTTCACCTCCTCCCTGCAAATAAAACCAAAACCTCGCACGGCTCAACACCAAAATTGTGGGGAGAGGAGAAACAGGGTTTAGGAGCCAGAACAGAGGAGTGGATCCCTGTGATGGGGAAATTTTGCCTTTCATCTTCCTTGAGCCCTGAGCTGTCCTGTCCTGCCATGGATGGTGTGTTTGTGTGTGTGAGAGAGGCTTTTCGGCTCAGCAGTTATCTGCAGCTGATGTGACACCGCGGGGAGAATACATTTCCCAAACCATCCTTTGCCGGGGATTAAAAGCCGTTTTTAAAAGAATTCCCACCTCGTTCTGAGCCGTAACCACACTGGAGAGGTCCTTAGTGGGACAGCAGCGCACGGAGGGGGGACACGAGGTGATGCCGAGGCATTTCTGGTGTAATTCTCTCAGCCTGGCCAGCTCTGCCCAAGGAATGAAGTTGACTCATTCTTCCTGGATGCGATCCACCTCTCATGGAAATCGATGGAATTCTTTCTGCTGCCTTTTTAACACATGTTCTTACAGTTACTTTCTCCTCGTTTGTAAATCTACATGAACTCTTGCTTCCCTGCGGTTAAAAATATTATTTTTTCGCTAGTGATGGACCAGTCACTCCGAGAGTCCCGTAAATACTTTCCCATCTCTGGTTATGATCTGCAGAGCCGAGCACAGGAGCTCTTTGTGCTCTCTGCGCTTACACCATTTCATTGATTCCGCCTTTAAGGTCAGCGGGGAGAGCCGGGGGGGGCAGGGGGGTCCCCCAGCATCGGGGGGTCCCGGGGGGCCGGGCCGGTCCCGCAGCCCGGGGAGCGAGGGATGACGGCGACATCACCTCACACCCCATCAGGTTTTTTTTTTTGCCTTCCCCCCCGGCCCGTGAGTTATGCTCTGAACTGCCTTTTTAAAGATCTTTTTTTTTTTTTTTAAGGAGCTGCTTTGTATTAAATGAATAAAATATGTTCCTGTCCCGTCGGGTCCCTGTTCGCTTCCATTCCGCCCCTTTATAAAAAGGAGTTAATCAGGAATGAGTTGCCACTGGCTTTTTGCAGTTTATCGCATTCCCCAAAGGAGTTTTACATCCTCAGCCCATTGGATCATCATCTTTTAATCCTAAAAAAAATACCTCTGCCTGTGTATGGGGTGTTTGAACACTGAGATCCCGGCGCCTTGTAAACAGTTTTGTGTTTTTTTCCCCCAAACCCAGTATGAATTTAGGTTTGCGTTTATTTTCTGCTCTCACAGATGCTTCTGGTATCAAAATCTCGCCGCTTTAATTTGTTCAGCTGTAGAAGAACAGCGTCTGTGCAGCCCCGAGAATGTTTTCAGGTGTTCTGGGAAGAGATAAATGTTTCCGCTTTTAGAACGCTGTTAGTGTTTAAAGAAAAAGGAACATTCGGAGAAGTGTTTGAGTCTTTCTCCTGTTTGTTAGGGGGGGGAAAAAAATGTTCTTAATTATGACTTGCAGGGTTGGGGGGGGTGCTTGGAAAGCTCCTCCAGAAAAGTAATTCTAAACAGTAAAGAAGGGGGAGAAATAACGGAGGAAAAATGCTCTATGATGTTTTATTTTAATAATCCTTTGCAGGCATGTGAGCCGCGGTCTGAGGGAGAAAAAAAATAAAGAAGTTTCAGGAAAAAGGCACGAACAATACCGCCTTTAAACCCAAATCTGCAAACTTCTGAGAATATGCCCTCGTATTGAATACACCGGATTTCTCTCCCGAGCGAAGGGGAAGGTTTTGTTCGTTTGGACAGTCTTTGAATACTGTTCTAAAACTTCTTTCAAGTGGGAACTGAAGAGAGAAATGTTAAGTTCTGGGAGGAGACAATAAGTTAGCATCTTTGAGCGGGGTCCCTTGCATGCAAATCAGCCTTTTGGCAATTTGGGGAAGTTTAATTGGAAGGTGGAAGCGTGCAAAGATAAGAAAGCGGCATCGGTAGGAGCTCGCTGGGGGTCCGGGGGGACCCCGGCCCCGCTCCTCACCTTGCCCGGGGACCCCGGCCCGCCCCGTCGGGCATCGCCCCTCTCCCCCCTCTCCCCGAGGTGTCTCGGAAATCAATCCCTGCCTCTGAAGTTTCTATAATTTTCACCTCATGAATTTTTGTCGCCCCTTTTCCCCCCACCTCTCCCCGCCCCCGGGGTTCTGGGTCAGGCCGCGGTTCTTTGGCTGCTCGCAGCCCCTCCTTGGGCTCGCTGCTCGGGCTCCTCATTTCCCACCGCCGGAAAAGGTCTTGAACTCAATTAATAGCTAATAATTATCCAGCCAGCCCCGCCGCAGCCGTTCCTAGCGGGGAGAGCCCAAGTGAATCAGGCGCGGACCCCGCGGGGACTCGGGGAGGCCTCCTTGGTGTCCCCTTGGGGACTTCGGCTGCTTTTTGGGGGCTGAGCCGCAGTCCCGCGCACCCAGGGGCAGCAGAAAGAGGGGACAGTGAGGGGACACCCCCCGAGGGCTCCATCGGGGTCCCCAGGGGATGGGGACACCGCCAGAGCGGGCGCAGCTCCGCGGGGACGAGCGCAGGAAGCTCCGAATTGGGGCAGGGCAGCAGATGGAGATTTGGGGTGCAGCCCTCGCCACCTCTACAATATTTAATTAACGCAAATCCCGCCCTGGCCGGAGCCCTGCGGGGTTGCGGGCCTGGCTCGGGGCTGCCGGGAGGAGCAGGGGGTGCCCCGGGCAGGGGAACCCCAAAAACCGGGAGGGGAACGCGCCCCGAGCCCGCCAGCGGCTGCATCTCCCTGCGAGCCCTAAATCTCCTTAAATCTCCTTAAATCGGGGGCAGTTCGGGCACTTCCGAGGGAAAAGGCGACTCAGGTCGTTGTAGTGGCTTCAGAATTGGGCGTTTGGGCTGAAAAATGCTCGATCGAAAATTGCCCCAGCGGTACCTGTTTGCCAGGGGCACTTGCCGCAGGGGAGAAGCTCCCAAAAATCCCCCGGGAGGAGGAGAGAGCTCAGCCCTGAGAGACCGCGGGCTTGGGCTCTTTCCATAACAAAACTCTTCTGAATTACAGTGCACATCGTTCCTATTTTGCTTTCATTTGGCAAGCAATCTCCGGGCAAAAATATTTTGATCAAACGTCGAAAAAAATTGCTATAACTCCTTAATTTCCCTTCATTCCCAGAGATCGTCACGATTAAAATTGTGTTTACATCCCCAAAACTGTCTGTTCATGGGAGACAACACTGCTCGATGTCTGACGATTGTAATTATAATCATGTTCAAGTTAGATATTCAAATGTAAATTGTGCTTTTCTTTTTCTTTTTTCTTTTTTTTTTTTTTTACGACTTATTTTAGGACGTGAATTTTTACCTTCGCCGGGACCAGCAAGGCGCAGCCTGGCGCGGTGGAGTGTAACGAATTCGGAGGAATTCTTAGAGCTGAACATGTTTTTTGAAAAATCTGAAATGGCAATTGACACGGTGTTTTTTCATGGCCAGAGGAGCCAGTGTTTTCTTCTAGAAATAAGAAAAAAAAAATTAGACTGATCACCTCATTTTGATGCACAGACGGGTTTCAGTGCAGCTGGAATATCTGGGAAGAGGTGCAGGACAGAGAATGCAGGCACAGGTTATGCTGCAGTATTAATCTTCCCCTCTGTGTTTCATCGCTAAGGGGACCAGCAAGTGACTTAATTTCATTTTTTTTTTCAATGTACAAAACGCATCCATTTCTCCCTTTCTCACTGGCGCTTGTTCCGCCGCTTCTCAAAGCTTTTCGGGTAAAAAAAAAAAAATTAATTTAAACCAATGAGAGTGTAAATAGGTCACTTCAGGAAAGGCTCTGGCGGGTGGAGGATGTGACACCCGCACCGAGCTCCATCACCCTGAGCAGCTCTGAGCCCCCCGAGCGGCTCCGGGTGGCCCCGACACCGGGGGGAGGACCCGGGCCGGTGTCTCGCCACCTCCTCAGAGCGGGGAGGGGGCGCAGCCACCTTTGCAGAGTTTGATTTTTAGTATTTTTATGGTTTTTCTCCTCTCCCCGGCCGCCAGCACAGCCGCTGCTGGGAAGGCGAACTGTCGGGGATGCTCGGAGGGGGCTCCCCCCGGGCCCCCCGTTATCCCCGCAGCCCCGGGGCTCCCGGCTGTCCTTAACCGCCCCCTTGTGCCGGCTGCTCGCAGGGACCGCGCCTCGGGAGGCGTCGGAATTCCTGGGCAGGAGGGATGCGAGGAGCGCTGCTCCGTGGCGTGGGTGCGAGGCAGCGCCTCGTCATCCCGTGGGTGCGCTCCCGCCGCTAATTAGCGGCAGATTAGCGGGGAAAATCCCCAGGGAAGCGTGTGACATTCTCAGCGGCTGATCTGCGACCCCGCGGAGCGCAGCCCCGTCCTGTGCCGCCGGGTTCTTGCGTAGTTTAAAATATTAATTCCCGGTTTAATCCCGTGCGCAGAAACAAGGAGGGATTGATGCGAAAATCCTCGGCAAGGGGCGTGCGGCAGCGCCCGGACAAGCTGGAAGGGCTCAAGCATTTTAATCTTCTTTACCGCTTGAAAATATTTGTGCAAAACAGCTCGCCAAGCGCCTCTCCTCTCTCCCGTGCCCCCCGTGGGTGCCCACCCGAGCCCGGGGCTCCCGGGAGGGCCCCGCGGGGAGCGGAGCCGGGCGCTTCCCACGCAGCGCTTCACCTGGAGCGTGTTTCCCAATCCCATCTGGCAGCACATGGCTTGTGCTGGAGATGCCGAGGAACCCACCCGTAAATCCCTGCCACTCCAGCGCCCCCTCCCCAGAGCTGCGGGGACCCCCCCGCCCGCCCCACGCCGCGCTGAAATCTCCGTTAGCGGGGCGAGGGTGGAGGAGCAAAGAGGGGCCAGGGCGGAGGGGTTCAACCCCGAGCAGGCTCATTTTGGGACCCTCCCTGCTCCCCTGTGCCCCCAGACCCCCCAGACGCGGCCATGCGGGTCCCTGTCCCCTGGCACGCAGAGGGGCTTGGCTGCTTCTTCCCCTGCAGGAGGTGGTTATTAATTCTCGCTGGAGTGGTTTTCCCCTTCAGCCATCCCCAGGGTGCCCGTGGGCACAGTTCCTGGGCAAGTGGCGGAGCACGGCGTGGCTCCAGGCCGGGCAGGGCCCCGGCTCCTTGGCAGCCACCCGGCTTGACCCGGCAGCGCCCAGAAGCTTCCTGGCGCTTCTCCCTTCCTCCACGGGCATTCATTTGCCCTTCCCCGTGGAAGCGACACGCACGCAGACAGGTGCAGGCTGGAAAAGCCCGGTGGCCACCGCGGGATGCTCGCCCGCCGGGACACGGGGGGGCTCCGGGGATCCCGGGGGGGCTGCGAGGCTCCCCCTGCCCGGCCGCACACCTCGCTGCGGGGCTTTGCTGAGCCCCAGGAGCCCTTTCCTTCCACGGGGGCTCAGAGCCGGGATGCAGCGAGGCCCCGTGGAACCCCGGTGGGAGCAAGAGCGCTGTCCCCGGAGCTCCCGGGCCGTGCCCTCGCCAGCAGCCCCGAGCTGCTGGGGCTTGCAGCGAGTAGGGGCAAACGGGGCCCGTTCCGGGGCTGCAACCGCCCGGCCGTGCCCGCTGCGGGGAGGGATCCCACTCGTGTCGGGGATGGCAGCGTGTCCTGCCCCACACGCACCGCAGCCCACGGCCAGCACACCCCGGCTCCGGCCCTTCCAAATTCGTTCTCTCTTTTTTTTTTCCCCACATTTTCACCCTGTTATATATGTTTTTATTTTAGGGGGGGGGCTTTATCTCCTTTTCCCCCCTTTCCTGGGCCGGCAAAGCGCCGCAGCCCGGCCTTGCCGCCCCGCTCCGTGCCCGCCGGCGGCTGCGGGAGCCCCGCTCCCCTCTCCAGCCCGGCCGCCGCCGCCTCGGCCCGGCAGGAGCGCGGCCGGAGCCGGGGAAGCGACACGGGCAGACCCGGGGTGCCGGGGACAACCGGGGCAGCCCAGACACGGCGGCTTTCGATCTCTTCTCGGTGGCTTCGTTTGCAGAAGCATCCCCCAAACCGTGGTACCCCCAGAGCCACCCCAACCGCGCACCCCCGAAAGCGTTTCGCCTCTCCCCAAAAAATCCCCGAGCGGATCCGCTGGAGTGGGGCTGTGCCCCGCAGGAGCCGATTCCTGGGGGAGTCTGGGTGATGGGGATGCGGGGGGTTTTGGCCAGAAAACAAAAGCCGGGGTTGTGCGGGGCTGGGGCTGCGGGGGGCACGGCCGCGGTGCCCGCCCGGTGCTCCGAGCCCTCCGTGACCTTCGTTCCCCGCCTCGGCCACGGGGACGCGGCGCCCGGGGCATCCTCCCCTGGCCAGCCGCGGCTCTCCCGGCTCTACCCGGTCTTCTGCCAGAAGACCGCTTCAATAACAGCGAGAAATAACCTGGGACGACGTTTTCAAACTGAAACCCGCCCGTCCCGGGAGCGGCTCGGTGGGGGACGCGGGGACAGCGAGAGTCCGGGATGGCTGGAAGAAATATTTCAATGAGTTGGAAACACTCGAGCTCCTGTTTCACCGGTGAGGCTGGGAAGAGCTTGTTTTTCCAACCTCGGGGTGCCCGGCGCGCCGTGGAACGGCGTCCTCGAGGCAGGAATTCACAGGCACCGCTTCGGCATTTTAGGCGACACGTGGCTCCGAGTTCCCTTCAAACGGATTTATTTTATTTGGCCTCCTGCTCCCCCACCCTTCCCTCGGTAGCATCTGAAAGGCCTCTGCTCCCATTTGCAATTAAAGAGTTTATTGAGGAGGGGAAAACCGGTAATTAGCAGGAATATTCCCCCCCTCCCCAGTTCCACCTGCAGGGCAGGAGTGCAGCTGGCGGAATGGCTTCCAGCAGGGACCTGACGCACCCACACAAGTTTTGCTTTGTTTTTTTTTTGGGTTTTTTTTGCGGTGCCCTTCGGTGCGAGGGCTCCCCGGGATGGGTCCGCACCTCCAGCGCGGAGCGCCGCGCTGCCCTCACCCCATTATTTTATGGAATGTTTAAGACGACGCGCGTTTTCTCCCTCTCTCCATATTAATCTCATTAAATCCTACCTTTCAACCTTCTTCCGTGACCATCTGACCTGGCCACTTGAATTAAAATAGTGCTTTCTCCGCAGTCAAAGCCAGCACATCAATCACCGGCTATTTACACTTCGCTCCTCTCTTCAAAGCTCCTCTGCCCCAGCGCTCGCTACCTCCGCTCGGGGAGGGGGCGGCCAGGTCCTGGGGGGCTCCGGGGGTGTCTGTCCTTCCTCTCCCCCCTTTCCTCGGGTGGCTGGCGGCTTCCCCCGTCCCTGGGGAGCGCTGCCCCAGCGCGCTGCCTTCCACCTGAAAGGCAGAGCGGAGCGGCCGCCCTCCCTGCCCGACCCCTCCCGGCTGCCCGCGGGGTGCGGGGCCCGGGGCCCTCCCGGCGCGACAAACCGAGGGTGAAACCCCCGCCAACAGCGACAAAACCGAGCCGGGGATGGAGGAGAGAAGCTGCAGAAACGCTGGAAAAAAAATTCTGGTAGAAACACGAGAAATACCGACAAAACACGACAGCGCAAGTTCTCTTATTTTAAAAGTTATTATTTTTCAAGTTAGGCAACCCACCCCCTGAGCCGAAATGGGAGAGGAAGGCAAAAGGAAAAAAAAAGGGTAAAAAAAAATAAGGAAGAAAATAAAGACAGACACTGGTTGAAAAGTTACGTAAATAAACATTTTTCAGATTAAAAACAAAAGCATGTCCAAACTAGGAACGTTTACAAGATGACAACTACTAACAAACTTTCTCTACAGCATTGCTATTTAGCAGTAACAATAATAATAGAATAATAATAATCACCTCTTTAAAGGATGGCACCTTGATCCTTAAATATTGTCCAGTGTGTAAGGTCAGTGTGCGGAGGGTTAGGAGCGGAGAGGGCTGATTTTTCTTAAAGGGGCAGATCAGGAGAAGGCTCTGATGGTGCCGGCAGAGAGGAGGGGGCAGAGATAAGTGGTCTGAGGAAGAGGATAGGACAAAAAAAAAAAAAAAAAAAAAAAAAAAAAAAAAAAGGGGGGGGGAAAAAAAAAAAAAAAAAGAAAAGAAAAAAAAAAGGGAGAGAGGAAAAAAAAAAAAAGACCAAACCAGCCCGATGATGATGAATACATTGGAAAGTTTTTTTGGCCCTGGTGAGGGTGTCAGATTGAATGCTCTGTGCGCATGTGCGAAGGTGTCCAAACTGACAATGCTGGGGAGATGAAGATAGTGTGTAGCTGCTTCTGGGCTCAAGGAGGAGGAGAGGAATCCACACGCCGACACGATGAGATCCAAGGCGAGGGCGAGAAAACTGCCCAAAAGTAGGTCCTTTCTCTCCCTTCTTCCGCGTACCGGCGGCGGGGCCGGGGGCACGGAGCCGGGCCGGGGGCTGCGCGGGGCTGAGCCCCTCTCGCCCTCCCCGCGGCGGCCGCTTTTTTTTTTTTTTTTTTTTTTTTTTTTTTATTGAGTCGTTCCAAGTCTTGTGAAATAATATTCCCGGCTCCTGAAATAGTGGGCGCTAGAGGTCTGCGTTTGGCATCTGCCGGCGGGAGCCGAGAGACGGAGCGCTGGAGAGAGGGGGGAGAGAGAGACAGGCAGAGGGAGGGGGGGGGAGAGTGGGAGAAACCCTTCTGGTCTCGGGAACAATTATCGAGGAGAGGGAAGGAAGAGAATTTGTAGCAAAAAATGGATCCGCTCTCAGTGAGGGGCTTTGGAGTCGCAGGTCCAGAGGGAAGATCCTGAAGGCAGCTCGGGTGTCCCAGCTGGGGGTTAAGAAGGTCTGGGGGAGGGGAGTGTGGGGGAGTGTCTTTAATTTTTAATTTTTTAAAATTTACTTGGGGGTGGAATTGCAGCTCCTAAGTCTCCCGCAGCTTTTGCCCTCCGTCTTCCAGCGGACCCTCTGCCGTTCGTTCTTTCTTTCGAGTCGTTTTTAGCCTGGATTTTCCGAGGAGGAAGGAAAGTGTGGCTTTTGTAGGGAAGAGCGGGTCCTCTGTGCCCCGCTGCCTCAGAGTCCCGCTGCAAAGGCTCGGGATGGTTCCTCGGTGATTCCCTGTTAGGTTCCGGTGGCAGCGCAGGATTCTGGAGCCCGGGCAGCCAGCCTGTCCTTTCATTATTATTATTATTATCATTATTATTATTATTACTATTATTTAGTTTCTGTTTCGCTCTGTGCAAAGTATCTGGAGCTGCAGAAGTTGCAGCGCAGTGTGTGCCCCGCTGGAAACTCCGCTCGCAGCGCTCGGAAAAGGCTCGGGCGAGCAGCGCTGCCCGCTCCGCTTCCTCGCGTGGCTTTCCACGGGACCCCCGGGGGGAACCTGGGGCCGCTCAGAGCCGGGCGTGGGGCGGGGGGATCCCCGCAGGTGATGGAGAGCAGCCCCCCCTGCACACCCCGTCGGGGTTCAGCCTCTCCCCGCGGCTGCCGAGGGCTCACGGGCGCTCCAGCGCTGCCACACGTGGGCTCCGAGGTTGGTTTTGTCGTTCAAGTTCGTCATCCCGGAGCCTTTCCAGGCCGCCAAGGTCAGCGAGGGCCGGTGCCGCCCCCCGGGATGAGCCGCGGTCGCCCCTTCCCGGGGAGGACACCCCGGTTCCAGGGGGGACCCTTCTCCAAAGCCAGCGCGGCTCCTGGGGTCACTTTTCCTCACAAAGTGGCTTTGTCGCCGGGTTTGTCGCCGGCCCCGAGCTCCGGCCGCCGTTCCTGTTTCGCAGCAGCCCCAGGCCCCGCGGCTCACCTTGGTGTCGCGACATTTTCCATCGCGATCCAGGAGGGTCCCCCTGTCCCCAAAGCGTGTCCGTGTGTCCCCCGAACACCCCGCTCGGCTCTGCGGGCACCAGCGCTGCTCGGGGCGGGATGGGTGACCCTTTGCGTGGTCAACATTGTCACCCCATCGCTGGGGAGTTCTAAGGGAAGTTCATTGAATTAATCCAGGGATTTTATTTTACTTTATTTTATTTTTTTCAATAAACACTCGTTTTAAGCGTCCCCGTTCAAATAATAACTTTTTAAAAAGTCGTCAGTTATTGTTTTGGATTGTTAAAGTGAGGAATGATTTTCAGAGCTCTCTTGGCTGGAAAAGCCAAGTTCAATGGTTAAACAAGGTGGAATATTTCACTTTTACTTTTATTTTCTTTCTTATTTTTTTTTCCTCGCCTCTCCTTCTCTTTCTTTTTACTTCTTGAAAAGGCCCCGGGTTTTTTTTGCAGATGTGCCCCGGCGGTTCAGTGCGGGTTTTTACAAATGTGTCCCCGGTGGGTGCGATGCGGATCCGGCCGCGTTTGAGACCCTCCGCGCTCCCCCTGTGAGCTCTCAGCGAGCTCCTGCAGCTCAAGGGCTAAAAGATTTTCGGTGCCTGGATATCTCCAGAGCTCGGGGAAGAGCTGGGAGCTCCGCGGCCGGGAGCGAGCCCTTCCCGGCGGCCGGAGCCGCGAACGCGCCTGGAAGCGCCTGCTCGGAGGCTGAGCCCTGATTAAAATCAGGTGTTTAATACAATACAAGGCCCAACGGTTTATGGGGTTTCAGGCGAGGATTTTTTAGGGATCACAGTTCAAAACAGTAGTCCGGAGCTAAGGTTTCAATATCCCAGGAGTATTTATTTGCCAAACAGATTAAACACGGACACGAGTGTGGGATCTCGTTGTATTTTCTCCCGCGAGGTAGCCACAACTTCTTTCACCGCACGGGACCCCGCAGGTCCCTTCCCAGCTCCCTTTTCTGGCTGCTGCAGCCCCGGGAGCGGCTGCGGGTGCTGGGAGAGCCCGCACGGCCCCGGTGCGCGGCCGCCGAGCCGTGCGAGGCTTTAAAAACACGCTGTGCTGGAAAATTTCATTTCATTGGACAATATTTTAAGCAGATGTGAGGCTCCGCTGGGAATTCCACAATATTACCTGTCTGGGAAAAGGGGCGAACGCTTGTGCGCTGGGGTGGGAGCGGAATTCTCGGCGGTTTCAGCGCCACTCACACGGGGAGAGCGGCAGGTACCGGGGGCAGCGGAGCTGAACCGGAGCCGGGGATGGCTCTCGCTCGCTCCGTGGCTCCCGGCCGGGCTGGGAGCCTTTAGAAACGGCTGTAAATCAAAAAACGAGGCTCGCTCAGGGTGCGGGGAGGCGCAGCAGCCCCGGGGGTGCCGGCGCCCAGGTGAGCGCTGCCCCCGCATCCCCCGCAGGGCCGGGCTGGGCTCCGGGGGCTCGGCCACCCGCAGCCCCCGAGGGGATCAGCGGCACGGCCAGGTAGAAGGCCACGCCGTGTCCCCGGCTCCAAGGGCCTCGTCTTTTCGCGAGAAAATAAAATCTGGGTGAGCGGGGAGAAGCTCTGCAGCAGCCGGGGTCTCGCTGCTGCTGGCAGAGAGAGGATGCAGGGGAGGCGAATGACACAGGAGCTGGGCGCTGCACGCTCAAAGCGAATTCGTTTCCTTTCGAAATCCCTGAATTTCAGAGTACAGCTACAACACCAAGCTACACACCGCAGGGCAGGATCGCAGGCTCTTAAATAAATGCTCGTGCTGGCAAAAGGTGGTTGATATTTCTGCAGCTCCGTTTGTTTTCACTGTTAGGAACAGGACGGAGGAACACTTTGGGGCCGGAGTTTTCAGGCAGCGCTGGTGCATCCTCCGGGCAGGCTGGATTGGCAGCAAAATGGTTGTGAACCCAGCCCTGCCGTGCCCGGCACCGCTTCCTCGGTTTCAGGCTTCGCCTTCGAGGAGAGAACAGCCTTCCCGTTTACCGATATTTTATTAATTTTATTTTAATTAAGGCTGAAGAGACAGTGAAGGGGAAAGGGAGAGGAGCGAGGAGAGCTAGAGCCCAAGCGCCACTTCCCGGCGCATGGCTCCGTTTGTGCTCCCACAGACGCTCCCAAAGCTGCAACGCACGGACGAGGAAAATTTATGGCGCTTTGGGGCTTTTAGATTTTTTTCCCCCCATCTCCAAAGCTCTCCCTCTGCCCTGTCCCTACCCAGAGCCCCGGGAGCGAACACGGGGGAGCGGAGGGAGGCAGCGCTGTGCCCGGCCCGCTCCGCTGCCCTCGGTGACCGGGATGTCCCCAAAGCTCTCCCGAGCGGCGGCCGCGGGTGCGGAGCCCCGCGCAGGTGCGGGGCCGCCGCCGCCGGGTCCCCACCGTGGCTGGGTCCCCCCCTGTCCTGCCCCGGATCTGTTCAATTAGGCAATTAGGGATGCGGGGCAGAGAAGGGGAGGGGGGGGGGGTTTGATCCGCTAATTAAGATGATGCGTAATTAGCGCTTCAACAAAAATCGCCGAGGATTTGAGATCGCTTTACTCTTAATTTATTTTTTCTTCCCCCCCCAAAAAAAATCTACAAATATAGTGTATCAATTCCCCCACTCGTCCCGCGTGGGTCATTTGGGAAAAAGCACCGAGGGAACAACTGCAGGGCACGTCCTCTCCTTGGCCTGGGCAGGAACTTGGCAAACGGGGGCACCGACGAGGGGCACTGGCTGCTCTCACCCGCAGAGCAGCAGCTCCGAGGTGCCAAAGTGCTGCGGGAGACGCGGGGATGGGGGATCGGGGTCCGGCCCCGGCTGCCGGCAGCGCCCGTGGGTGTCCGAGCCGCTCGGATGAGGTGCGTGTGATGCCCGTCCACGTGTGCTCGCATCACGGGGCACCGGCGGGTCTGCACAGAAAAGTGAGTTTGGAAAGTGCGTCAGAGAAAAGGCGCGTTATCCCAAATTCGCCGAATTCCCGATTTCACTGAATTCCCGTTTCCTGTAAAACCTCCGTGCCGGTGCAAGACGTGTCTGTCTGTCTGTGCAGAGGCGTTTGTCTGTCGGGCTGGCAGCGCGCATACAAAGGTCTTAAAACACGCATTAAAATCACAGCTACTGCACGGTCACGACCCAGAATGTTCTGTGCAGAAATCGGACTGAATGTGTACTTTATGTTTAGTTTTTTAACTCGACCACCTAAACCTGCTTTATTTTTAGGCTTTGCACCGCGACTGCTGTGTGAGTTCAGGGATGGCAGAGGAGGTCTTTAATGAGCTGGGGGGATAAAAATAAACCAAACATTTTCCTGAGGGCTGCTATTAAAAATACCTGGGGAAGACACTGATGTCGGGAAAGCACTGAATTGATTTTTTGCCCGATTTTAGGCACACTTTAGCGGGGTCAGAGATCCCCGAGGGAAGCAGGGCTGGGAAGAGCCGGCCGGGATGAAGCGCAGCGCACCTGAAGCGCGCACGATCCCCGCTCCCTCTCAGGCAAAAAGCGAGGCAGGAGCTTGGATTTCACCCCACGGCAGCTCTGTAATTCATCTCTACCTCTCGCTGCAACGATACCCCGGCTCCTCGGGCGGCTGGGAGCGTTCCACGAGC